TCTATTAGGTATGTCCCAATGCAAACAAAATAAATTATTTCAGCTCTTTTTAAATTCAGTCACAGAACCTAAAGCAAACAAAGAGGAGCAATCAGATGGTATTTCCACCAATAGCAAATGTTTAAGTCTGTCCAGGCAAAAGGACAGGTGCCACTGTAATGAAACATAACAAGTTTATGAGACCGTATCAATAAACTGCCAAGCTCTGAACAGCCCTGACTGAAGGATATAAACAGTGTTCAATGTTATTTTTAGTGGGGGTTAAGGACACTCTAACTTTTAAAACTCCACACAGAATCTATAGGTATACAATAGAACGTATACCAATTAGTTGAGAGAGGTCTTCGTCTACATATTGGGTTGGCCCAAAAGTTCATTTAGTTTTTTCTGTAAGATGGCTCCAATAGTACTTAGTTGTCTTTAATACTGTTTAAAACAATTTGGTCAGACTGTATTGTGATGGCTGTCATATCAGCATGCATTTTTAAAAACTTATCCAAATTGGTGAATTTTTGTGCAGCCACCCTAATATTGAAGATGGAAGAAAACAAGCAACATTTGGGCATATTATGTTTTATCATCTGAAGGAAGGTAGAAATGCAACTGAAATGCAAGAAAAGACTCGTGCAACGTAAGGACAAAGTGCTGTGACTGATTGAATGTGTCAAATGCGGTTTGCGAAGTTTCTTGGTACCACTGACATTTTGGTTAAATAATTCTTTTCTGTGGGCTGTCTTTTGCACTGGCAGGTGTTTAGCAGCACCCTGGCCTCTACCCACTAGAAGTCAATAGCTGGAGATAGTCATCATACTCAAAATATCCAAATCAGTAAAGCTATTGGTGAAAATGAAAAATGTCTTATTTTATGAAAAAAACCATACAGACTTTTAATGAAAGTTACTTCTTGAATGGACGTCAATACTCAGCAAATCCATTTCCAAGGCAGTTACATCTCATTGTTAGAGTCTATCCTTTGGAGCAGAGGTAGACAGATAGGGCCACTCCAGTCACCCTGTTTTTGTACAACCATGATATAAGAATGGTTTCTACATTTAAAATATTAAAAGGGGACATATACAAACAAAAAAGTGTGACAGAGAACCCTCTGGCCTGCAAAGCCTTAAGTATTTGCTATCTGGCTTTTCACAGAAAAGGTTTGCCAACCTGTTTTAAAATAATAAATTAAAAAAAAAAACATCGCTGAAGCCAATGTTTTTTAATCAGCAACTTACTAAATTCTTTCCTATACTTGAGTCAAGAGTAAATCTAGAAAAAGCATTTAAACTCTGAAATAAGTAGTTTTACAGACTGATACTTTATCAATCAATATAGTGAAGTTGTTTTCAGCTCAAAGCAGTTTAAATTTAGCAAATTATTCGTAAACTATGGGTGGACTCTCACAAAATATGTAAAGTGTAACTTCTGAAACTGATTTATACTATAGGGTAGTTTAACAGGGCTCAGACCAATGAATGCCCTTTTGTAAGGTAATGATTTAATATCAAAGTTTTTATGTGTAATCTAAATAAGTTGCATTATTACTTTTTAAATATATTTTATTAATTTATTCTTTAGAGGAAAAGGGAGGGAGGGAGGGAGGAAAAGAGGGAGAGAAACATCAGTGTGTGGTTGCCTTTTGCACACCCTACACTGGGGACCTGGCCAGCAACCCAGGCACATGTCCCAACTGGGAATCGAACTGGCAATCCCTTGGTTTGCAGGCCAGCACTCAATCCACTGAGCCATACCAGCCAGGGAAAGAAGTTGCATTATTTTTTAAATCCTTAAAATTAACTTGCTACAGATTGTAATTTTCATGTGAACAGTAAGATGGAAAGAAAATTACCAGCAGTCAGTCCTAAGACCCAGGTAGAAGTTTTATCTGGTCCTTACTTCACAGAACATGGAGGACCCAGATTTCAACTCACAATGAATTTCAGCCTTCACTGAGTGTATGGGAACTCAGCTTCCATTTGGAACAGTAATGCCACCACATGCCTCTTGGACCAATCACTGTAACATCTATGAGCTTAAGTTTACTTGCTCATAAGGAATGATCTAGTGGTTTTCTAAGATCTCTTCATCCATTTCTGGAATGAATATATATGTGTGTGTGTGTGTGTACGTGCGCGCGTGTGTGTGTAGGTGTATAAAACTAAGATTTGAAAAAACCCTTCTGGAATATATGTATGTATGTATGTATATGTGTGTGTGTGTGTGTGTGTGTGTGTGTGTGTATATATATATATATATAAAACTAAGATTTGAAAAAACCCTTTATGACCTGCCTCATTTCATACAGAATCTGAAGCCACTCATACCTCACAAACGTGGTACTGCAGTACAACCTTTGCAAGGGCAAAGGCACAAAACAGGGAACAAGAACAGCAAAGGCAGTATCAGAAATTAGCCTTCTTACTGTACCCCAATACTATGAACCTACAACTTAATGCAGATATTTTTAAAGTTAGACTATGAAGAGAAACTGTCTCTTTCAAGTCAGTTACCTCAAAACCCCCCAAAACTTTTTTCTAAAAGTGGTCTTTAAAAACTCCCTCTTGTTTGAAGTCATCCAAAAAGCAAATACAGTATGCATACTTCACTTGGAAAGAAAATGCAAAGCTGCCTACAAAGGAAACTTTTATCAAAAAGTCACTTTTCAAATAATTTCAAAATTAGCACCTCCAGTCTACTTCTTGACTTTGAGAGAACAAATGAAAAAGACTTCAAGCATCGACAGCCTCACTTCCCATTTGGTACCAGAGGAAGAGACCCTGGGCACTCCTGAGACCCCTCTGGCCATTTCGGCTCTAGGTCCAGGTGGGGGGAATTAAGTGCAATCAAAGGTCAGCACGCAGGGGTGTCCAACCTTTGGCCCAGGGTGGCTGTGAATGTGGCCCAACACAAAACGTAAATTCACTTAAAACCTTTTTTTTTGCTTATCACTTTTCAGTGTTTATTTAATGTGTCGCCCAAGACAACTCTTCTTTCAGTGTGGCCCAGAGATGCCAAAAAGGATGGACTCCCTGCTAACTTAGGCTTTCTTCAGACTTCATCCAGATCAAGTCAATTCTGCAGTTTCCTAAATATTAATTTCAAATAAAGGGTCTTGAATTTGCAAGAGGCAAAGACTCTCATGGGCTCCTCTTAGTTTTTGAGGAGCAAATGCTGAGGAGCATACTGATACCAAGAATATCTGAAAAAAAAAAAAAAAAAAAAAACCAAAATGGTATTTGCTTTCAAAGATATTTGAAAATTTGGATTAAATGACACATACCATTTAACTAATAACCAAAAGCATTCAATGGAAAAAGTTTCCACATGGAAAGCGTTGTAAAAAACAATTACAAAGATGTTGCGCATTAAGAAAAAGGTCAAGGAAAGGTTTAATATCAAGATTGTATTTCCTTTCCACAGAATAAACCATAAGCAAAAGTTCATTAGTTGGTCAAATCAACAAATAAACAAATTGGGGGGGGGAGTAAAAGCTCAAAATAACTCTCAATAAGCAAAGTTCCCAGCAGCAAACTCCCATTTTGCCCTGAGAACTGAGAAGCAACTGAAGAGATACACTGAATTTGATTCAGGTGCCCTCTCACTCCTGAAGGGCAAGTCCAGGTCTCTATAAAAACCATGGCCCTGGAGGCCCAGCTTTTCACATGGAAATCACTGCCTCTAGTAATCCCGACTGGGTTGACCCTATGACTTTCAGTAGCTCAATTTCCTCCACAACTGAAACAGTTGTTCCAGAAAACAAGCCACCTTACAGCACCCTCGAGTTGCACAACAGCAGGGAGAAGAAGTGCCAAGTTCAGAGAGACCAGCACAAGCGGAGTCAGAATTAGAGACTGGTGCAAAAAGGTTTTCATCAGGCACTTCCTCACTGAGTAACATCTGCACCTTTTTGAGAGTTCTTTATTTACAAGATCTAAAAACTGAATTACTTCAGCGAGCTGCTCCCCAACCCCCAGGCCCAACCTGACCCAGAAGTCCTTCTTAAGACATTTAGGCGCCTGTCCCTGCCCGTGGAGCTGCAGCAAGATGCGTGGCAGTCACTGGGAAATGGACAGCACTTCAAAGGCATCAGGCATCATTACTTTAAGAACATGTTTGGAAAATCTCAATTCACCTTAACGAAAGCTGCCAAACTATCAGATTTTATACTTATAATCAGGTGAATATGTAGTATGTAAACTATATTTCAAAGAAAGGTAAGAAAGAAAAATAAAGACCTGCCAAACTAACATAAGTTAAAAAAACAGTATGCTTTATGGTAAAGGCCAGAGACTAAACTCCAGATCTGTTTCAACCCCTCAAAATTAAACAAAATGTGTGGTTGCTGCTATAGGCAGTGAAGACTAAACAAATTATTGTTTGTGGCACAATCACTGCATCTTAGCCTTCTTCAAAAGGAAAGAGCCCAAGAGGGTAGTCCCCAAAATGAAAAATTTCACTCTGAGGCCATCACAAAACCTTAACTAAGTTGATGTGCTTTCCTCCCCTGTAGCTATTTTCAAATACAATTAGTACTATAATATCAAGTGATTAAAACTTGCAACTAAGAAAGACTACAATGTAGAAGGGTAGAAACTGATACCAAAACTTTGGACAGAGTACTTTCTCAATATAAGTCCTATCATTTCGCCCAGTTTTCCAGCTCTAAGTGGCTTGTAAATCACTTGCAAGGAAATGAAACCCCTTCCCCCACTAACACAAGCCAACTTAACAGCCGGACATGTTTTACTGCAAAAATGAAGTCTTCCAGCACGGTACCCGTGCCGAAGGTTGCAGGGCCGCCTTTCCACGCCCGCCACTGGGGTGTGCAGAAGCCTGGGAGGCTCCATGGCCCCGACGGCCACGCGGCAGGGGACTGACCCAAAGCCAGGTAGGCCAGGGAACCGATCATCACAGCTACGCCTGGAGAAGGCACAGGGTCCTGCAAGCCTTTCCCAAGGGGTCAGAGGTTACCGCCCGCCCACCCGCCCCAAAGCACCAGGTACCTCATGCTGTAAGCGCCGGCACCCAGCTCCTGCCCGATGCCCGAAAGGCTGGCGTCGAAGTCGTGCACCAGCCCGGACTCGATCACCTCGTCCATCTTGAGCACCCAAGCCATCTTCCGGACTCGCCGTCGCCCGGCACGCAGCGCTGCCTCCGCGAGCGGGGCTTAGAGCCCAAAGCTCCGCGGGAGCGTCCTGAGGGAGGGCGCGGGTGAAGCCTCCGGCGGCGCGGCGAGTGGTCACCAGCAGCGGCCCGAGCGGCGGCCGGGACGAGAGCGGCCGGGGCCCCGTGGGCAGGGCAAGACGAGGAGCTCCAGCGGGAATGGCAGGGCCGCCGGCAGCGCCTCCCTCCCGCGGGCGCAGGCCCCGCGCCTCATGCCGCCGCCGCCCACCCCCTGCGCCGCTAGCGCTGAAGCCGACGCCGCTGCCCTCCCCACCCCGGGGCCCCGGGCTGCATCCTCCCCAGGACTGCGCGGGGGCGGGAGTTTAGCCCGCTCCGACGACCGCGTGGGGGTGAGCCCGCCCGTCGCCCGACCCCCGGCCTCGACCCCCGGGCTTCGGCCCGCCCGCCCAGGTTCTGCCGCCCCGGCCAACCCCGCCGACGCCGCTCCGCGGACGCGGACGATGGCTTCGACACAGCTCCTGCTCGAGCTCTCTCGCCGCTTCCGCCTCCAGCAACCGCGCCCCGACCCCGCCCCGAGGTCGCCCCAGGCGCAGGCCCGCCCCGAAGGGTCCCGCGCTCGGGGCACTCCCGGTTTGTCACGGCGGAGGCACTGTCCCAGCGGTGCAGCGCGACCCCGCCCACACGGCAAGTTCCCGGCCCCTGCGGCCTTGCTGCTTTCCGGAACACCAGCCCAGGAAAAGGCGGTGCCAAAAGGGCTTCCAGTTTCCGCCCATCCATAAAGGTTAGTTGATTGACCGGCGAACTGGACAATGATGGCAAGTGCTTGGTCGAGGCTCCCGTGAGTCTCTGTGCCCCTGTCCTAAACAACCAATCAGAATGTGCTTCCTCTTGGGCGGGCTCCAGAACTGAATTTGCTGCCAAAATAAAGAGTTCATTGGACCGCACTAGAGGAAGCACAAACGCCACTTCCTGTGGTGCTTAACTCGTCAGTGGTCTTTGTGGGTAGTCTCTGGATCTTGCTCAAACTACAGGTAGAGAGTGATAGGGAGTCTTAGCCAATAGGTTCGTCTGCTATCTGAGGCCTGAAAGGCCGATTGGACGGAAAATTCTGATTGACGTGAATGTAAGCCAATCAAAGCTCTTGAGAAATCGTTCTGGAAAGTCTTCCCACCACTGCTGATTGCTGGCAACAGTATGGCGATCTTGAGTTAAATTAGGCGTTTGATCACAGTAACAGCTGGCAATGGTGTTATTACCTCGCATGGTTTTGGGATTCACTTGGTTTAGCTAGGTGATTCTCACCCAGGGTCTGTCCTATGGGTGGAGTCAGATGGCTGGGGCTAAAGTCACCTCAAGTGGTTCTGTACTGATGAATACAGAAGTATAAAATGGAGTCGGTATAGTCAATCTGCCAAATTACTAAAATTAAATAGGTTGAGGCATGAGGATATTATTCTATCCTTATTTTAACTAGTCTGGGAACTTAAACGTTTGAACTTTACAGCCCTGCCTAAATGCCTGCGTATGCATCAAACCGCAGGTTTACCTCTGATTACCCCTGGAACCAGACCACCTGACATCTATTATCCAGACTACCAGACATCCATTATCTAAATCATCTGATGTCTAGAGTATTACAGTTTTCAACCAATTCAGAGGCGAAGAAGGCAGAACTGATTCCTCTCATGAATATGTTTAACTAGAAAACCCTCCAACTTTTTTTTTCAGAACATTCTGGATTATTTCCTAGTTGTGTTTCCAGTTTGCAAACCCTAAGAGCCTGAATAAATATTTTTAACCAAAGCCTCCTGGTTCATTTACCATAGGTCAACAGTAGTCCCATGTTTATTGCTGATTGTTGAGTGGGACCTCAGTTGGGGCTGCTGAATGCCTTCAACAAGAGTCCTGTAAGGTGGGTTTTTAAAAAAAAAAAAAACCCTTACTAACTTGACGTTTTTTCATAGTAATTTTATAGCCACTGATCTCCAACTTGTTCCCTGGCTCTAAATTCCCACTTACCTGTATGGAGTTGGGCCCCATTTCCCCTATTGCAAAATCCCATTGCAGTGGCTCCTATACCTATTATGATGCTCCTGAATAAAGCCTGCCTCATCATCTTTAACAAGCGCTGGTGAATGTTTTTACTTTAACACTTAAGGCCTGGGACCAGAAACTAACTCAGAATCTTATTCAGTATTCTGTCCCCTCTCAACCTCCCACCCTTGCTCTTTCAATGGATTAGCTTAGGAAGAATTGATAGTTACAATATTGAGTTTTCCCACCCGGGAACATTCGTGTTTCTCCGTTTATTTAGGTCTTTCATTGTTCTTTGGTAACATTTTATAGTCTTTTCATATGTCTGCCTGGCACGCTTCTTGTATGGGTTTTCCTTAGATATTTATTATAGTTGTGTTGCTTTTGCGAAAATAACCCATGTATCTGTGTCATTTCTAATTGGTCGTTGCTGTTTTCTACTGATTGCTTTAAAAAAGATTTTATTTATTTAATGTCAGGGATGGGGAGGGAGACAAACATCAATGTGTGGTTGCCTCTCACACGCCCCACCCTGGGGACCTGGCCTGCAACCCGGGCACGGGCCCTGACTGGGAATGGAATAGGTGACCTTCAGGTTCGAAGGCTGGTGCTCAGTCCACAGAGCTACATCAGCCAGGGTGGTACTGTGTGCTATTAGTCAAGCAGCCACAGAATCAGATTGGTGGGAGGAGAGTGAAATAATTTGGGGGTCAGGTTTTAAAATTTCCAAAATCCACCCTCTGGCCACAAATGTTTTATATTCTTTCCACATGCAAGATACACTCACCTCCTTCCCGGGCTACTTACAAAGATCTCACTTTATTATGGCATTAAGGTCCAGGACCTTGAGAGGTACTGATGTATGTGAGGCTCCTTGAATGCAGTTCCTTGGTGTAATTCCTTAAGTGTCTCCTTTCCATAGGAAGACCTGTGAATTAAAAAGACAACTGATCTGCCCCAACCACTACCACGTATATCACATGCAACAAAGAGAAAGGCACAGGAAACTATACTTCTATAGACATTTCCCTTCAAAGAGTGGAGGATAGAAGGCACATTATAGTCATGAGTCCACTGAAATTCTGCAATTCAATTGGATAAATGTTGCCAGTTCCCTGATTAGGACTCCATCATACTTCCTGGAAGTACTGACATGGCTCTTATCCCCATCCACGGGGCTCTTGGTTCCACCCAGAGTCATCTTTCCAGCCCCATGTTTACAGCTAAATAGTTTTCTTAGCTAAATACTGTCTGTAGTTGTTCAGGGATCCTCTCTTCATGGTGTACTATCACTGTCCCAGTCCAAGTTGATCCAATTCATTTTTTAACTTTGTGGGTTTCTTGTGAATTAATTTATAATCTCCTCCAATAAACAAAATAACACATATCCAGGGGAGCAGCTTAGCTGTGTTGTTCTGGGTCAGAGTTTCTCACCAAGGGTACAGTCAAGGTATCAGCTGGGGCTGCAGCCATCTGATGGCTTAATTGGGGCAAGAGGATCTACTTTCAAGCTCACTTGCATGACTGTTAGCCAGAAGCTTCAGGGTCTCAACGTTTGGGACCACAGGGCTGCTTGAAGTGTCCTCAAAACATAGCAGCTGGTACCCTCCAGAATAGGTAAACCAAGAGAGAGAAAAGAAACTGCAGTGCCTTTTATGACCTAATAACCAAAACCATACACCATTCCTTCCACTCTTATTCTATGGAAGCAAGTCACTCAGCCTCCAAGAAGAGGAGAATGTCTCCATCTATTGAAGGTGTAAATGTCAAAGACATTTACACAGAGCTACATTTCTTATAGGCATTTCTAGCCAGAACAGCCACATCCATCATTATCATTTAATAGGTTTTTGAAGGCACTACACAGCAGATTAGATCAGAAAATCAAGTTAAAGATATAAACATGGAAAGGAGGAGGTTAAAATGATCAGTTACATAATCAGTTTAAATGATCCAGATATATGCTTATATATCTGGAAACCTCATGGAAAACAAGTAAAAATGTAATCACACAAACCAATAGGTTTATATAAACAAACAGGTTTAAAAATAGAATGGAAGAAGAGGATCGATCAATTAATAAGATTGAAAAAGATAAAATATCTAGGAAATAATAAGAATTGTAAAGAACTGTGTGAACCCAACTTCTTTAAAAAACGAACACAGAAGTACACGGAACATAAAAAATACTGCATCCAATGTTATAACGGCAGTTCTCTTTAACCAATAAATTCAACTAATTCCAATAAAAATACTAACAGAACTTTTAAATTGGACAAACTGGTTCTAAGATTAATATGCAAGAGTAAATGAGCAAAAATAACCCAGGAAAGTTTGGAAAAGCTAAAAGGTATTCAAACATTATAAGACCTAAATATTTTGAAGAGTGTGCATTGTTGAATGTCTAGATGAGCAAGGGAAGAGAATAAAAAAATATAGGAACAGATCAATATGCTTATAGAATTTATTATGCAGTAAAAACTAGCATCTTAAATCAGTGAAGGAAAATGGACTTGTCAATAAGTGGTTTGTGAATCAGTCTGAACCTCCTGAAAAACCTTACACCAAGACTGATTCCACGTGTGTCAAGGTTTTTGTTTTTTCAAAAAGGTTAAAGAGGATAAAACCAAAATCATAAAACACTAGTAGAAAATATGGGAGAGTAATTTGAGAACTCAGGGAGGGAAAGCCTTTTTAACCATGACACAAAACCTAGATACATTTAACAACATAAGCATTTTACTATTCATAGCAAACACTACCATAAGCAAGATTAAAAGTGAACAGAAAGAAAAATCTTTTTAGAACTTGGAGCACGGACAAAAGTTTTATTTCCCTAGTATATAAAGAGTTCCTATAAATACATTACACAATGTACAGTGAGAATGTCATTTGTACAGTGCAACCCCCAAAAATACACAGTTGGAGTATATCTCTGAAACACACACACACAAACTTTCACTGAAGAGAGCGACTAAGTTGAAGGGATCTCTTAGAATTTTAAGAGAATTTTAGCCACTAGAATTTTATGTCACCTGCAATGGAGAAGATTAGCCACATCCAAAACACACTCTGTTCTTGGCTTTTTCCAAAACTGTGAATGAAGTTGGTAGTGCTACAAACAGAAAAGCTACTATAAGATATGTATATCTATATATCTATATATATCCCCTATATATCTTTTATATATATGCTGAATACATTTATATGTGTGTGTGTGTGTATATATATATATATATATATATATATATGAGCTCAATAACCTCATACCTACCATCCCCCCCCCCATTAATTAGATGTGGCCCCGGGATCAGCTAAAGAAGCAATTGCTCTCTTTACGAAGTCTTTATTCAACCAGTACTTAGTTACAGCTATGAACAGAAGATGCAGCAGGTAAACAGGAAGAATGAGCTCCTCCCGATGTAGCAAATCTGGTCTTTAAGAAATGTTCACATTTCTTTTACTGCTGAGACTAAAAAGCTCCACCTGCTTGGATTTCTGCACAGCAACTATTATGCTCAAGAAAAATTTAGGACAAATGGTATGATTTTCAAATTCTGACAAATAGCAAAGATGCTTTTTTGGTGATGATTCTTGGGCTGCTTACCATTTCAAAATATGCATTCTTTCAGATTCTCTCTTTGTTAAGAGGTTCATGGGTGCTATCATCTGAATGTGTCATGTCTCCTTGGGTAGGTATGTTGGAACCTACCCCCCAAGATGGTGGTATTAGGAGGTACAGCCTTT